CGAGTTCGAACCTTGCCAAGGGAACTACTTTTTTTAATTTATTTGTTGTTGGAATAAGAGGGTTCAGGGTATTCTTTAGTCGTTATCTCCCGACTAGAACCGCTTACATGTTTTTTTGTGGCTGCTGTGGCTGTTGTGGCTGTTGAGTGAAGACGGCGGCAAGTAGTGAGGTTAATTGCGAGTTCGAACCCTGCTAAGGGAACATATATTTTTTTAAAATGTATTATTAGAAACGAGCGAGTTGCGCGATCTGCATTTGTTGTTTGAATAAGAGGCTTCACGGTATCCCCTAGTCTTACTTGTTAAGTCTAATCACTAACTAAACAACATATAGACTAGACATGAGTACCAGAAGTAGACACAAAATGTATCGGTGACATCTGGTCCAAAATTGCGAGTAAGGGAGTGGGATATACATATGATGTATTTTTGAACCGCTTACTCTACAGGAAAGTTCTTGGCGCACTCTCTTCCATATGATTTGTGCAATAGAACGGCAACGCTGTTAACTTTTATCTCGCTCGCACACACTCTCAGCTCTCAATGCTTTCTCTATGTTTAGGGATCGTTTCAATGTGTGTGTGTGTATTTGTCCGACGAGCAAAACTGCGCATAAATTCAATTTTTCTCAAATGCTGAGGCATTTCTACCCTTTTGAAGGCACGGCTAATATGAAATAGAGAAAGGGTTTGCCACGTCGATGCGAAATTCTTGCATTTTAGCTCGCTATCGTTGGTAAGGGTATCCAAGCGTTGCCATGTGTGCATTTAGAATATTTCGGACTCGCTATACACGCATACTTGCATATTTTGTGTATGAATAGAAGCATTTATGCGCTTGTGTGCCTGTTGCTTGCCTGCCTGCCTGTCCCCGATGCAAATTTAACAAGATTAGGTTTTCTGATTTTGGACCTCTACACACAGACACACACATACAAATGTCTGTGAATGGGCTGATCATGGGCGCAAAAGAAAATGCATTATTGGCACGCGTCTGATGCGCGCCCTTATTTTTTGAGATTTTGATGAATGAATGTTGACCCCTTATTACCTGATTTTTTATTTTTTATTTTTATTTTTACTCAAATTTCATTCATCAAATTATTAAAAAGAAATTGAAACGATACCTAAACATAGAGAGAGCATTGAAAGTGCGAGCAAGATAAAAGTTAACAGCGTTGCCGTTCTATCGCACAAATCATATGGAAGAGAGTGCGCCAAGCACTTTCCTGTAGAGTAAGTACATCATATGTATATCTTACTCCCTTACTCGCGATTTTGGACCAGATGCCTCCGATACTTTTTGTGACAACGCTGTTTGTATGTGATGTCCAGTCTATATGTTGTTTGGTTAGTGGTCTAATAGCCTCTGTCCACTGAACAGATTTCTTACACATTTCTGAAAATGTCACATTTTATTAAAATGTTTACAAGGCCTGTACGTTTCCCCATAAGAAAACCTATTTCACATTTGAAATTCAACTCGAACATTTCGTGTTTTTTCCAATGATTAATCGAGATATCTATCGATGTTGTGAAAAATGGTAAGGTATCATAGCCATAAACAGCTGAACGAAGGCGAACAGTAACTTTAACTGGGAAATTTAAAATTAGAATTATCCCACAGTTTTTAAAATTTAAATATGGCGAAATGTCGAAAAGAGTACCTAAAATGGAGCCCTTACTTCGAGAGCGAAATGTTTGAGTTTTGGAAGAAAAACTTTGCGGCGCTTATGTAAATTAAATCAACTAGATAATCTCTTTTTTTAAAGGAGCCGTACTTTTGTTACTCACTTGTTACGACATCCGGTGAGACACCAATATGTGAAAGTTTAAAATGTGACAGTGGGCAGAGGTTGCGACTTTGTAAATACTGTCTTACAAGAGCCTATCTTACAAATGATAATAATTCTTGTATCTTCTCTGATCGCTTTCCGCTTTAACATAAGCATTTTAAAATATTTATTTTAAATCACATTTTGTACTATATTTACCCAAAATATAAGTACTTTCTGGTTTATTAGGATCTTCACAATTTATTGTTAAAATATCTCTACCTAAATCCTCTTCTAATACTCCAATCTCAGTTGTTTCATTGTTTGCCGAAGCTTCAGTATCGTGTTTATTTATTTATACTGCAGTGCTTACTTTATGTTTTATAATCATGTTTTCGATTAAAATTTTGTCAACTAAAATTTGTTTACATGCAACTACATCACCTAAGGCTAGAATATAATTATTAAAATTACTAGAAACTTTAGCTCTAGCAGTTTCGAACCTAATCACTACATTACTGAGTCAAATTTGCATCGGGCAGCCAGGCAGGCAACCGACATGCACACAAACGCATAAATGCTTTCCATCCATATAGAAAAGTGTGTAAGGGTGCGTGGTTTTCCGGCCCAAAAAGTTATCATGCACACATGCTAACTTTGAGGTACCCTTACCCTTTCAACAAGCATGGGAAATAGCAATTTTGCACATGATCAGGCCAAACGCTTTAATATTATCACACAAGCACAAGCAGCAAGTCGCAAAAATTGAACATTGGAAATTTTAGACCTTTTCTGAAAATACTTACAAGCCGAAGACGATGAATTACCCTTGCAGAAATACGACTTAGATATTTTTGTATTTTAAGCAAAATAGGTCCCTACAGTAAATAGAAAATAAATTTAAATATTTAATTTAGGTCAATTAATTGTGTATTAAATAAAATTATATCAAATTCTTCTCATCATGCCTGACTGGACGAAGAAATACATGATAGAGCATTTAAATGTGAGTACGTATTGCTACCACAGGCACAAAAGGCACACAATTGAAGAAATAACCTCTGGCTCGCGACAAACGCCGCGATCTACTTGTGCGCACATCCACACAAACAGGAATGTTTGTAGATCTCGGGGAGAGAGATGGACGCAAGTGCGCAAAGCAATGAGCGAGGCACATGCATACACACATATGCTTTTGGACTGTAAGGATTTAAAAATGGCATACATACAGTATGTCAATAAAGTGTTTTTACTAACAAAAAAAAACTAATTTTTTGGGTTTAGTTGAAAATAAATGTACCTAAAAGTGAGAATTTTTTTTCAATTATAATTTATTTCGATTCTATATTTCTCCTAGAACTTAATGGCAAAAAGAATTGTTAAATAACATTACCCAAACATTTTATAAAATTAAAAAACTAAAAACATTCACATTTTATGCTGTCAATAAAGTGTTTTTACAGCTACGGTAAATTGTTTTGCCGTTCTCTTTTGGGTGATCCCGTTAGATTTGGGCCCATGCGTTTTGGCTTCTCTTGTGTCTTCGACTTTTCTTGTCATTTTCTATTGCAATTTATAACGTTTTGCTTTAATTTTATGAAAAATAAAATGCCAGGAAAAAGAACAACTTTTGAAGTCGCTCAGCTGGTGTATTATAACCATCAGATGGGACGTCAAGTCTCGGAACTGGCTGATATGTTTAATTTATCAAAAGCAACGATATACAACATATTAAACAGAGCCAATAAGGAAGATAGGCTAGAGGCAAAGCCAGTATGTGGTCGACCCTGCAAAATTTCTGACAGAGATAAGCGAAAAATTCTGAGAAAAATTGAGAAAAATCCACAAATTTCGCTTAGGGATATTGCTCAGGAGTTCAAGGAAGAAAGTGGTGTTGATGTGTCACATGAAACTGTCCGAAAATTACTGAATTCCAATGACTACACATCACGAGTTGCCAGGAAAAAACCTCTACTATCGGCGGCGAATATTTTGAAGCGGCTATCGTTCGCTCAAGTCCATGTAAATAGTTCGAACGATTTTTGGAGTAACGTCATATTCTGTGACGAAAGCAAGATGATGCTATTCTACAACGATGGGCCATCCAGAGTCTGGAGAAAGCCACTAACAGCGTTGGAAAACCGCAATATTATTCCAACCGTTAAATTCGGAAAACTATCAGTGATGGTGTGGGGGTGTATTTCGAGCAAGGGTGTAGGAGATTTGACCTTCATTGAGAATACCATGGATGCTAGACAATATCTGAGCATTTTACAGACACATCTCGTCAGTAGTGCACAGAAATTTGGATTCTATGAGGACAATAAGCCAATTTTTAAATTTTACCAGGACAATGACCCGAAGCATAAAGCTCATATGGTAAGAGTTTGGCTGTTGTACAACTGTGGAAAGGTGTTAGACACTCCACCACAAAGTCCAGATATGAATCCAATAGAAAATGTGTGGTCATATTTGAAAAAAAAAGTCGCAAAGCGGAGTCCAAAATCAAAAACTGATTTAAAAGCTGCTGTACTGGAAGAATGGCAGAAGATTCCAGAAACATACATACAAAACCTTATTGTTTCAATGAAACGGCGATTGCAGGCTGTATGTGACGCTAATGGCAGCCACACAAAGTATTAAAAAAAAATATTCCTGTTTTTTTAACATTGTTATTTAGTAATAAAGTTTCGTGTAAAAACACTTTATTGACAGCATAAAATTTGAATGTTTTTAGTTTTTTAATTTTATAAAATGGGCCATTATCCCTGGGAAAAGATACTAGGGTTCAAGTGCAAAGGTGATTTTTTACGGTCATTTTGTATGGGGCTAGTAACGAGGTTGCTGCACTGTAGTACAAATATCTTAAAAACGTGCTGATCGATTTTTATAATTTTTTCAAGATTGGTTAGGTGAAACTATAAACTTCAATCGTGTATATGCGGTTTTCGGGGCCATTACCCTAAACTAAGATATTTAATGAATGGTGAAAACCTAACTTTTCAACCCCTTTGTTTACCCATATTATAAATAAAAATTTCAAAAATAAATGAATGTAGATAGTAAATAATTAAATTTTATGCAATTCTGCATTTAAATTTATTTGGTTTCGTGCTTAAAAACATAAATAAATGCATTTGAAAGGGACCGATACTTTTCCGATAAAAGTACCAAAATTCGACGCTAAGTCACCACCGCTAACTTGACGCACATCACTACACTATACAAAACGAACCACAAATCGATAACACCAAACAATCGAAACTTCTAACAGATGAACAACATGAACAGCTGTGACGATAAGTAAATATAAACAACAAAGGTGAGATGTTAATAAAAATTAATAAAGTAGGAAAAGACTATTAATCCACTTTACTCTTCCAGATCGGCCCCCGGTTCCGGACCCAGCTTACCCGCCCTACAATGAGACGATCACCTACTCGTCTCCCATATTTCGGCCATTAGATGGCCTGCATCAGCCTGTGCCGGCTGTTACGCCCACTCTCCCCATCATCGAAAATTTAGCCGGACATTTCTCCCTTCAGGTACGGTATAAAATTGGTTGCATTCCTTATCACTATTAACATTAAAGTTTATTTCTTATTCTCTTGCAGAATATCTCCAAGATGCTATTTATAAATTCGTACACGCGAACATTTCGGGAATTTTTAACAGGTGCATACGATAAATTGGTATTTTCTTATATGTAGAACAATTGATATTAATTTTAAATTTCAATTTTTTTCTGCAGAATTAATTAGTTTGCAACGCTGATACGGAACAGATACGAAAAGACGACCAGAAGTTATTGCCAGTCAACAAAAGAAAGGAAAAAAGGGGAGAGACACAGGTAATTATTGCACCAATGGGGAGCGAGTACCCGCTAAAATGAACGCGTGTATACATATGTGTTTCCAACGGAAGGCGTTATGTTTGTCGAAGCGCTTATATTACCCTGCCTGCCTTATGACCTTTCTGGGTGGGGGCGGTAAGGGCTATTATAAGGTGTATTCTGCACCTGAGGTGCGTAATATACTTATATATATATATATATATATATATATATATATATATATATATACGTATAAGGGATATCACTCGTGCATAAGTTGACCAAAATCTAAACTTTTAATTTGTCTCTTTACTTGGCAGACGCAATATCTTTGGGCCTTTTCCTTCCCTGTTCGCACTTTCGGAAATTTACTTAATTTAAAATAGTCGTCAGTTCTTTTTCAAGGAGCCTCAAATATGGGTCTGGCTTCGACCTCTGCCTTTTACTCGGGCGAGGGAAGGACGATGCGGAACGGACTCACTCAGTGATGAAGTGAACGTGGTCTCGCCTATGGCCGCCTCTTCGTCGTTGGAGTCCCGTCCATGATGGCTCGTCTCGCTGTCGTGATGGTTACGCCGATGCTTGGCCGAGTTTAGAAAATCTGGCTCGCGATTCAGGCGTTGTATGCCACCAAAAGGTTGCGGCTCTCTAAAGAAGTACCCCTTTTTTTGTTGTTTTAAACGTCGCACGACGGGGTGTTATTGTTTTGTGTATTTTGTTCTTGTGTACTATTTTTACGTTAGCACTAAAAGAATTTTCTTTGCTATTAAATAATAAAGAAAGCCTCTCGTGAATAAATGTATATCTCTTGATCTTTTCGAGCGCATGCTCTGTGGCCGGCATAGAAAAAAATATCAAACTTCAAATATTTCTTCCAGCTGGCACGCCCATTGTTGACCGCTGACAGAGTCGAACCAAAGACAATATAAACACTAAGATGAGTAACGCCATAAAACAAAATGCTACTATGCAGCTTGATTTTTTGAAAATTGAGAACAAAAACGAAATCTGTAGCATTGCGCTCTCACAGCCGAGAGAACGAAAGAGCTTAAAATAGAATTTGGTCTCAGCTTCGGCTCTATGAGGGCCGTGCAAGCAATTATGTTTGTATGCGTGTGAATATACATACATAGCAGCATATTTGAATGTATTGTTATCCACTGCTCTGGCGAAGTCTCTGGCTGGCAAAGAAACAATTTTCTTAGTTTTTTAGCGCAGATCACGACCTACCCAAAATTTCTGTTGATATATGAATGCATTTTGTGTACTCCGTACAAATAAATTTGTATTTTTAAGTTGATGCAAGTATTTATGTAATTTTTTACATATGAAATTATTAATTAAATTATTATTTTTTCAAAGATACATTTATTTATTTTTTTTTTTATTTTATTATTTTTGTTGTTCAAATTATAAAGAACAAAGTCAGGGAACACCTCGAGGAGACCATTATAATTATAATGGGGTCATAACTAAATATGACCGGGTATTTTCTGCGGAGCCAACCTCAGTACACAAAATGCATTCATATATCAACACAAATTTGGGATAGGTCATGATCTGCGCTAGAAAACTAACAAAATTAATTTCTTGCCAGCTAAAGCCAGAGCAGTGAATAACAACACATACATACATACTTTAAAGATCTTATGCATGTATAATTCACGCATACAACGAAAGGTGCACGCATGCTATTGGCTGAGACAAGAACTTTTCTCGGGCATACACTGTCCAAAAAGAAAAGTGAAATCAATCTATGTGCGCTATTTTCTTAAAATAGTTATTGCGCAAGAAGCGCCTTGTGTAAAAGTTATATAAGTTCTTAAACTTTCCCGTAAAATTAATCGTTAATATCTAGGGTAATAAATCATTTAAATAAAGCATGCATGTCATTAATAAAGCACAATCACTTTGCGTCGATCGTTAGTGCTAAGCTTTTTCGCTCAATGTACTTCGAAAACGAAGCGACGCAAAGCAGCATCGACCAGCTTTGCTGAAGGCAGGCTGGCGACTAACTTCGTAGCTCGTGTCAGCATCAGCAAGCCGCGACTTCGGCATTCGTTCGTCTGGTCTTTGAAGAACGAACAACCAGTCGGCAGGCATGCCGTACGAAGGCTCAGAGGCCAGATGAAAGGCCAGGCCAGAAATTTTGCGTCGCATTCAAATGTATGGACGTTACTCATCTTAGTGTTTATATTGTCTTTGGTCGAACTCTCTCTGTTCTTCTTTGGGTAGCAGCATCAAAGGTACCAAAATTCGGTACACGCACTTATTTAAATATGTTTACCGTTGCTGCCCATCTGCACAGCTGCATTTTTTTAGGTCAACGGCTCGAATCACGGCCAAGGGCATCTTCAAGGGCATGCGATCCACTCACTATTTTATCTCTTTGGGAGCGAATCGGGCAGTCCTTTTAGCGCCTCAGATCGCAAGCCCGGCGTTGCCACTCCTCAATAATTTAAGCGCCGTTGTGTGCCCGGCTTCACCCCGATACTCTGCTCCTTGGACAAAAGATATCGGCGTGGCCGATAATAAAGAACGCAACCAATTTCGGGCAATATCGATGTCGTCAGTATGTCGAATGCAGAAAATCTCTAGTTTTAATAGGTTCTAATATGCTTGCGTTCATACATACGGTGCCATCTGCACCACCGATTACTTCAACATTAGCGTTGCCACCTGCCGAACGTAGGGTTTCCTCAATGTAACTATCTTTTGGCGGTGGCTATTCACTGTATTTAGAATTGTCAAGACCCATCAATTTTAAGACGCATCGATGTATGAAAATTGGTTCCATTTGTTTTGGCAGCGTTAAGATTCAAATTCCTCTGCAGCCAGGCCGCACATATCCACTAGTACTTAATTTAATCTTGCAATCAACTCAGCTTTTGGTAAATTTAATAATGCCAGCCAACTCTGCAATATTACTTTTGACAAGTAAGCTTTATTTGGTCATTTTTTTTAGATTATCAAAATTCTGATATATAAGTAGCGTTCAATATAATAATAAGAGCTAGAGTCACCAAACATGACATGTTGCTTCTAGAATATTATATATGTGTCGAGTATCTTTCATTTTATACCTATCGCCACCTCCCCGCTTCCAACAATGTGCTATAACTCAAGATAATAACCCAACTTTTATTGCCAACCATTTTACGCCACAATTAAAATGCAATTGACTTTTTGAGAATATACAATCATTCTATGGAACAATAAGATATACTGTAGAAAATTTCATTAAATTCGGTTAAGAGAAAACCAAAGTTATATGTAACTACACAAACACATTCATCCGCGTCATTCTATCGCATTCTAACAACATAGTAATTGCGACTTTTTTCTGTAATGCTATTTTAGTTTCCTTTTTTTCTCCTAAGTACTTAAATATTGGTGTGGCTACTGAGTAGGAGCATAGCAAGAGGTGCGGTCTGTCGCGAGTTTGAGCACTACCGGGGAAAGTATTCTTATGTTTTGTTGTTTTGTTGAGTAGAGTAGACAGCAGGTATACGGTCAGTTGCAAAGTCGAGCCCTGCCAAGTGAACTTTTATACCCTTGCAGAGGGTATTATAATTTTGTCGTGAAGTGTGTAACGCATAGAAGGAGACATCCCCATAAAGTATATATATTCTTAATCAGCATCAACAGCCGAGTCGATATAGCCATGTCCGTCTCTCCTATCTTAATGAAACTTTGCAGAACTCCCTCTTTCTGTTGCACGCAGCACATATGTGAAAACCAGCTGGATCGGACCACTATATCATATAGCTGTCATAGGATCGATTGGTTGAAAATTAAGTTTTTGTATGAAAAAACATTTTGTTTTTCAGGATATCTAGACCAAACTTGGCACTTAGTAGTTTTATTTTACTCCTCATATAAATTCAAAATCCTATTAAGATCGGACCACTATATCATATAGCTGCCATAGGATCGATCGGTCGAAAATTAAGTTTTTGTATGAAAAAACATTTTGCTTTTCAGGATATCTTGACCAAACTTGGCACTTATTAGTTTTATTTTACTCCTCATATATATGCAAAATCCTATTAAGATCGGACCACTATATCATATAGCGTGTGAATATACATAACATACATAACAGCATATTTGAATGTGTTGTTCTCCACTGCTCTGGCAAAGTCTCTGGCTTGCAAAGAAACAATTTTCTTAGTTTTTTATCGCAGATCACGACCTACCCAAAATTTCTGTTGATATATGAATGCATTTTGTGTACTCCGTACAAAAAAATTTGTATTTTTAAGTCGATACAAATATTTATGTAATTTTTTATACCCTTGCAGGGGGTATTATAATTTTGTCGTGAAATGTGTAACGCATAGAAGGAGACATCTCCGACCCCATAAAGTATATATATTCTTAATCAGCATCAACAGCCGAGTCGATATAGCCATGTCCGTCTGTCTGTTTCTATGCGAACTAGTCTCTCAGTTCTAAACCTATCTTAATGAAACTTTGTAAAACTCCCTCTTTCTGTTGCACAGAGCACATATGTGAAAACCAGCTGGATCGGACCACTGTATCATTTAGCTGCCATAGGAACGATCGGTCGAAAATTAAGTTTTTGTATGAAAAAACATGTTGTTTATCGAAATATCTTGACCAAACTCGGCATTTATTAGTTTTTTTACTCTTCATATATATGCAAAATCCTATTAAGATCGGACCACTATATCATATAGCTGCCATAGGAACGATCGGTCGAAAATTAAGTTTTTGTATGAAAAAACATTTTATTTTTCAAGATATCTTGACCAAACTCGGCATTTATTAGTTTTACTTTACTCCTCATATATATGCAAAATCCTATTAATATCGGACCACTATATCATATAGCTGCCATAGGAATGATCGGTCGAAAATTAAGTTTTTGTATGAAAAAACATTTTGTTTTTCAAGATATCTTGACCAAACTCGGGATTTATTAGTTTTACTTTACTCCTCATATATGTGCAAATCATATTAATATCGGACCACTATATCATATAGCTGCCATAGGAATGATCGGTCGAAATTAAGTTTTTGTATGAAAAAAACATTTTGTTTTTCAAGATATCTTGACCAAACTCGGCACTTATTAGTTTTACTATGCTCCTCATATATATGCAAAATCCTATTAAGATCGGACTACTATATCATATAGCTGCCATGGGAACGATCGGTCGAAAATTAAGTTGTATGAAAAAACATTTTGTTTATCAAGATATCTTGACCAAACTCGGCATTTACTATTTTCCAGGTACTTCTTAAAAAGGGGCAAAGCACTATGAGCATTATGAAAAGGTTGGGTCTGCAAGGGTATTAGATCTTTGGCGTGCCGAAGATAGTCCTTCTTTCTCGTTTTAGTTGAAATTATTAATAAAATTATTATTTTTTTTAAGTAATACAAAATAAATTAAGAAAATAAAAGTGCAAATTTGTTGTTTTCATAGATACATTTAATTAATTTTTATTTTTTTCTTATTTTATTATTTTTTGTTCGAATTATAAAGAACAAAGTATGCAGGGAACACCGCGAGGAAGCCATTATTATTAATATTGGTCATAACTAAATATGACCTTCGAATCGACTTGAAATGTAATTGTATTTTTTAGCACTCTTTTATTTTTTAATTGGAGCAGAAAAATAATATTAATTAAATTTAAAGAAATTATGTAAATATTTGCATCGACTTAGAAAAACATATTTTCTGCGGAGCCAACCTCAGTACACAAAATGTATTCAGATATCAACACAAATTTGGGATAGGTCATGATCTGCGTAAGAAAACTAACAAAATT